CTTCCTGCTTCCCTCAGGTGCCGTCTTGCATCTGTTATTCTCAAATGCTGAAGTTTTGAGATATCCTTCCCTTAATGTGACCGCGTAGGTGGTTGCATGCTTTGTCTTGGAAGGCCGCTGCCTGCCTCACTGCACAGGATCGATGTCATCACTTAATGACTAGAAATTCAATACTTTGTTTCATGCGACTTCCTCAGTCTATGATCCGTTTCTCACCTTCTTGTCCACTCTTCAAATTTTGCTTTGACTATGGGCTTGCATCTACTTGCGTGTAGCACTTTTCAGCATGGTATCCGACTGCTTCCTAAACTATTTCTTTTTTTGACATGGCTATAAGGCAAAGCTAGCGGCGTTCTCGTCATGCAGATAAGAAGCTGATGCATATACTGGTGAGGGTCAACTGTCTCTGCTAGGTTTAGTTGCCACTTTCAGATCTTTTTTTACTTTCTCCAGCACCACCCTTTGGCTTGCAGGAATCCACTGCTCATCTGCTGTGTGTGCTCCAACTTTTGCAACAGGTAGGGCCATAGAGTGTGGACCTGCTAAGCAAACGCTGATGGCAAAAACGGTCCCTGCCAAAATCATCCAGCAGTCCAGCATCAGGACTGGTAATAAGGCTACGCATCAGCTTTAGCTCTCATGCTTACCATCTTTCTTTTACAGCCCTAGTAGGAGAGGAATGGAATAAATGTGTTTTCCATGGTCTTCAGACAGCAGAACTGGGGGCGGGGGGGAAATCCAGTGTGTGGCTGCGTTTCCCTGTGAACATTGGGGCGAGACTGGAAGTATGAGATTCACATCACTGACATCTGTCACCGTGTTTGCTGGCAGCTGTGTTGCTGCAAATGGTAGCAGTAGGAGCTTGTAGCCCTCTGTGAGCCATCAGTGCAGGAAGATGCCAGTATTTTCCCAGTTACTTCTAGAAGCAGGGGGATGCTGAGTCAGGAATAATGGGCCTGATTCACAGAGGAGTGGTGGCCACGGGTACTTTCTACTCCCTTTTCTCTGCAGACTTTCTCCTTTTATCCAGGGTCTCTCCATCTAGTCCTTGCATGTCCATGTGTCCCCTGTGACTGCAGCAAATCCTTCACCCTTCCTCATCTAATTAGATATTCTTTCCCTTCCACCTGGGGCCGGCCTGGGAGATCTCCCAGTCTCTGTTCCAAGATCAGACATCGTGCGGCTTTTTTGCAGGAGTAGCAAGGACATTTCTTCTTGGCCACATGGCTGTAGGGAAGAGGAGATTCCCCTCAGGTGATACATGGTATTTGGTTTACCAAGGGGGAAAGGAGGGCAAAGCATATTCCCTGCATACAAAAAGTCCAGAGGATTTTGTTGCTAAGCTCTGAATCCCTGTTGAGCCTGTGTGGGCAGCAATTTTCAAGTACTCACTGCTTTGAGGTGATTTTCTTAAAGGAAGAAGGACATACAACATTTCTACTCTGAAAAAATAAAGGAGTGGTTAAAGACTCTCAGTTAAATATTTGGGATTCTTTCTCATGTGAGTAAATTCACCTCCACACCGCCC